TATGTCAACTTTTCGTAATGATAATTAGTGGAACAGAATAAACACGTTGTATGTTATTTTAGTAATGACAAGATGAATATGAAAAACTTGTAATAAAGAAAAAACGCGAACTTTTTTTTGCGGTCAAACAGTTATCATAACTTCAGATTCTTTATAAGAACGAGACAGAAAATATCTATGAACTATTCGTACCAGGGTGCTCGGTACCATGTACTTTGGAACAATTAGTCCGACTAAGTACTCCTACCATCCTGGATTCGGTGGATAATTTGAATAAGGTAACTCAGCTACTTTATTATGATTGACTAACTAGTATCATGCCGGTTCTAAAGTTGCCACCAAATATATTGGATTCTCATCAAAAAGAAACGGATTGATAAGAAAACACAATCTTTAAGAAATCCCCAAATTATTTGCATCCTTACAATAAAAGCGCTGTTTACAAAAAGTTTTTCTCAAAATGAAATCTAACTACTAAGAACAACGAATTTTGCTGGGGTCTTGAATACAACATAAAATTGATATGAAATCTACTTTTTTAGGCTTGCGAGAACAAAGAGAATGGTTGTGATACTAGCAGTGCCAACATCAGCAAAGGTAGTGATGCAGGACGACATAATGTCACAGTAATGAACGTTTCTATCTTACTGTATTTGTTATCGATAAGCTATTGGTTGTTTACTGCTTGCTGAGATCGATTTCCCATATTTGTCTAACGTATATATTTATATGTTGGTTTACCAAATTGAAGCTATAATCAAATAAAATTTTTACAATATCTAACAGACGGGATGATGAAATCTTGTAAAATTAAAGCAATGAAGAGAACATAAGCTAATAATTGACAGCATAGCACAAAGACATCTCAGTATTTACACAATGGGCAATGATATCCATTGTATCTACACAATGGATAATGTCAAAGGGCAGCCATACCTCTATGATAGCACCGATGGAGTTTACAAAACTCCCTAATCCTTATATATATATATATATATATATATATATATATATATATATATATATATATATATATATATATATATATATATATATATATATATATATATATATATATATATATAT